TGTATTGTGGCACAGATAGCTACAGTGTTACAGAGAATGTGTATCTCAACTATCTCTGCTTCAGGACAAGTCGCAGAGCACGGACATGAATGTGAACATGTGGCCAGGTCTCCCACAAGAGGCAGAGTGGGAGTCCAGCGAGGTGGGTGGAGAGGAGAGAGAAGAGGGCAGAATGGAAGAGGGAGTGAGGGGTGGGGGAGGGGTGGAGGGTGGATACGGAGAAGAAGGGTACGTCGAGGTTGAGGAAGAAGAAGAGTTAGGCCAAGGGCAAGGAGACGGGTGGGAGGAGCACCTTATTCGACAGGAGGCAAGAGAGGGGGAAGGGGAGACATGGGGCGATGGCAACGCTAGAGAGGTGGAACAAGAAGTAGAGGAAGAGGAGGAGGAGGAAGAGGAGGAGGAGGAGGAGGGGAGGGAGGAAGAAGGGTTGGGGAGGTACACAAATGAGGGATGGGAGGAGCGATACGTGGGAGAAGAGGGGGAGGAGCCACTGGAAATCACGCCAGCCCCTCTTCGTCAGACAGCAGACGAACTCGGAGCCTCGCAAAACTCTCTCAACCTCACCACCCAAGAGGAAGTGGAGCCTGTTGCCGTAGAAACCGAGGACGACACGCAGCACCTCTATGCCAAGATACCAGAGGCCCACAAGGCCAAGAAGAGGCTGAAGATGATGAAACAGGCACAGAAAGAGGAGAGGAAGGCACGAAAGCAGAAGCTGAAGATGGAGGAGAAAGAAGAGAAGGCGAGGCGGAAGGCGAGAGAGAAGGAGAGGAAGGAACGCGAGAAGCAACGGAAGAAGGGGACGGTAAAACTGGAGGAGGACATGGGGGACGTTATGAAGCTCCACAACATCGACACCTCGACTACCGCTGGCCGGGCACAGGCTCAGTTCATCGACGCCGCTACTGCTCCTTTCTTCTGACACTAACACACACTTACCCAGCTAATGTAGCTGTATACGTGCATGGACTAAAGCACTCTTTTTATTTTTATTTCTGTTGTGTAACGATTACCACACACCCCGAAGTGTGTTTGTTTCTTTATACTGAGAATCAGTGTATGTATGCAGAGAGTGGTATATAGTGAGTGGTATATAGTGGTTATGGAAATGCTTTTACGACTTCAATTTGTTTGTTGTCATGCCATAATTTGCTGGCTGGACCTACAACAGTCTTAGGCCCACTTAACGCTCCTATTACCTTTGTGTACTCCCTTGTATATATGGAATGAATGTATGTTTATAAGATGCTCATGGTGCAGCGCGCGCTTGCGTATGCAAACGCGGACATAGCGCGAGGTTATAAATAGCTGCAGTCGTACTGCTAGCTAAACTCCGAGGAACAGTCGTTAAATGGCTGCAATCCAACAAGAATATCACAATGCGTCGCCAACTAGCGATTCGCATCCCTCGAACGAGGGTGCCGCCGCGTTCTTCTGCCGCCAGCAGTGCTCCGACTTTATGCGCGGAGAATGCGCCAACACAGGAAAGTTGTCTCCTGGTCAATTCGTATCATCAGTAGAGAAGCTGCAAGAGAAGGGACCCCGCCGATCCTCCTCCGATTCCGCACCGCCGCCGTGCAGATGCGCGTGCGGCGGAGGCTCCGTGACGATGTTCTGTCGTGACTGCCGGCGACTAGCGTGCGAGAACTGCATCGCCGCCGAACATGGAGACCACGGTCACGACCCCGCCAAGAAGTGCGCCTCTCAGGCCCGCCGTCTCCTGCAGCAGAACCTCTTCCCGCTGAGAATCGTCGGCCAACAGCTGACGGAGTCGCTGGCGAGGATCAAGAACGCGCACCGCGACGTCTCGGGCCAGGCGGAGGACGCCGAGCGAAGCATTCGGTCGTTCTTCGACGAGACCATCTCTCTTCTGGAGCGGGAGCGGCAGAGCCTGCTAGCGAGGACGGCCAAGCTCGCCGAGGAGAAGCTAAAAAGTCTCCGGGAGCAGGAGAAGAGTGTGAGACGGGCCTCGGGCGAGGTGCAGAACGTGGTGGAGTACTGCAGACAGAAGACGGAGCTGGTGAGCGACGAGGAGCTCCTGGCGCTACAGGACGACCTCCAGAACCGAATCCAGGAAGAGTGCTCCCGACACGAGGGACAGTCGGAGCAAAACCCCTGCGAGGTGGCCAATATCGCTGTCCAAATGAAGGGGGCGGAGGAGATTGTGGGGTTGTGTAGGGAAAAGGCCCGGGTCTACCTGTTCCCCAGGAACAACAACAGCCACGTCCACAGAGCCGAGGTGGGAAAGGAGACAACACACTGTGTCACGGAGACCTCAGACCCTCTCTTCACTCCTCGCCTGGCGACGTTCACAGCCTCTGTGGTGTCGGTGGTTGATGGGTCCACAATTGAGGGGTCCGTCACTCCAGTGGGGAGGGGTCTGTACGAGGTGCGGTACACCCCTCGGGTGAGGGGAAGGCACCGACTGTGGGTCAAGAGAGACGGAGAGGCAATTCCGGGCGCTCCGTTTCCCGTCCTCGCAACAATCTCCCCTACTCAACTAGAGAAACCAGTCCACTGTATGGACTCACTCAAACACCCGTACTCTGCTGCATTTGACTCCCAGAACCAGCTATTTGTGACTCAATCTGGTGGAGACAGCATCCGGAAATTCAGACGCAGTGGGGACGACGTCGCGAGCGAGAGTTTCGCGGCCTCTCGACAGCTGAAGGCCCCGACTGGGTTGGCCATCGACAGTGAAGGGTTCTCGTATTTGGTCAACATCTCCACACACACTCTCTGCAAGTTTGACCGCAGTGGAGCTCTGGTTGGGGAGGTGGGGAGGGAGGGGAGCGACAGAGACGAGCTGAACCATCCCTCCGGCGTGGCAGTGGTAGGAGACAGAGTGTTTGTCTGTGACCGAAACAACGACAGAATAAAGATCTACTCCAAAGACCTGAAGTTGGTGGGGATGTTTGGAAGCCACGGTCGTGGCAAAGGCGAGATGAACTGGCCTTATGATGTAACCTGCGACGATAGCGAACTCATCTACATTGCCGACAGCGACAATCATCGGGTTCAGGTGTTTAACAAGAGCGGGAAGTTTCAGCGTTTCCTGGGAACCCGGGGCAACGGCGAGGGGTCGTTAATGAGACCGACGGGAGTCTGCATGGGACACGACGGACTTCTCTACGTGACGGAGTATGCCAACCACCGCGTGTCGGTGTTTCAGAGAGACGGGGAGTACGTGGGGGGATTTGGGTCGTACGGCAGCGAGCTGGGACAGTTTTGTTACCCTGTGGGGGTTACTGTTGACGGAGATGGGTTTGTGTATGTCTGTGACCAGGGAAACAACCGTGTTCAGGTGTTTTGACTCCCTCTTTCAAATCCTTATCACCCTCTCGCCGTCCCTCAATGGGGTCTTGTATAGAATTTGTGTGATTTCATATCACGACATTCATTGTGCCGCTGTATTCATGCTGAAAAAGAGTGCATCTCTTAGTTAAACCACAACCAACCACAAACAAACACTGCCCACATTATTCAATGCATCCTATTTTCATATCACATTCACCACGTGTTTCGTATCATATTATTATACCAACAAACCATAACATACAGATTTACACACAAACAGAATAGTCTGTAGACTACTATATTATATAAACAATAATAAACCGTGGTTAACAATGAATATTGTTTCAGAATTCGTAAGTCTGGGTAAAGTGTGTGTCTGGAGTGTAGAGAGGGGAATAGTTGTAAATGAGAGCTTTCCGCTCCGCTTCCTCTGAAGCAAACTTGTGGTTACTCTTACGGGCTGTTGTGTGTACATATGAAGAGGGAGGGAAGAAGAGAGGGATGGAGTGTGAGAGAAGAAGGGAATAGGAGAAGAAGGGAAGAATAGAAGGGTACGATTACCAAAAGTTAACCAACCACGAACTAACACAGAGTGTAAAATGAGAAGAACTTATGGGGATCTAGGGTTGCCATCCACATTCTAATATTTCCCCGCCAGCCTGTGATCCTTGCAGTGAGGATGATAGTCCACCTTGTTCCGTGGTCAAATCACCATCTCAAGGTGGAATCAGGGGTCCAGTGGGAATTGAGCCCCAGTGAACGGCTACACCCACCTCCAATGAGATGCCAATTAGGCACACACTCTCCCAGATCAGCTGGTGAACACTTTGCTCTGACAGGTCCACCTACTTGGTCTACAATTAATTTACCACAGTTCTCTCTGTGTAGTGTGTTAAGGGAGGCATGAAGCCTAATGAGAACTTGTTGATAAAGAACCAGTAGTCCCATCCCTCCCTCACTCTTTCTCTCCAATGCCCACCTCTGTGTGTTATTGGAGACCACTGGGGTAATGATTGTGTGACCTAAGCAAATTGCGCAGCATCAGACACAATTAACCCTTTAGCCTCCCCCACATGCAGTAGTTAAGAACTGTTCACCATAGCGCCCATGATGTATTGCATTAGCTGTTACATTATACACCAGGCACCACTCTCTGGGGGCTCAAGGAGACAGGAAAAGAGGTGAGTGCCTTTTGAGGCAGACGTGCCAGAGACACCATTTGGTGCAATTACGGAAGCATCTCTGTCGGTTCCACTGTAGCCCCCCCATCCTCTCTACAGCTGTTTGCTTCTCATGGTGACACAAGCACCAGCTGGCCTGCCTGTCAGCGTGGTTGACTTTTGCCAAACTTCTAATGAAGGCCAGCTTTTATGATCGACTGAATACACATCACACTCTGTTGTTGCTCACGTATTAATGGCGCCTTTAATGGTGGTAGGCATGTATCATGTCTTTGATGCATGTATTGGTAAGTACATACATACTTTGACATGCGGTGCAAATTTGGTTTAGCGTTTTGAAGAGTACACCAATGAATGGTACGATGATGAGCCCATGTAAGAAATCCGAGACCAGTGTTTCTCATGCAGTTGGTTGAATTCTGTTGGAGTTACACAAACCATTCACGCTAACTGACCCGTCTTTTCATCAACTTACACGTGTGTTACCTGGTCCCTGAATCCTACACTTCTCTCCTCCCGGCAGTGTTTGCCCATAACGAGGCTATAGTGAACCTTATCTGGGTCCACGGGTGGCGATATTGTGTGAACATAATATGGGAAGGTTTTGGTCAGAGTGTGTGGAGAGCCAATTCAAACTTTGGTACTGTTTGTGTGGGTGAGAGTATCGGGCTGCGCGGGCAGGCTTGGCAAGTTCATCCCATACAAACAATCCCTGGTTTCAGGTCAGTAAACACTGATTGAATGGTATGCACTGGTGTTAATTGGTATCGTATAACAATTGGTATTGCCTTCCCACCGTGCATGTAGAGAACATGTACCCACCCATTCACCCTCCTCCTCTCACTGTGCATGTAGAGAACATGTACCCACCCATTCACCCTCCTCCTCCCACTGTGCATGTAGAGAACACGTACCCACCCATTCACCCTCCTCCTCCCACCGTGCATGTAGAGAACATGTACCCACCCATTCACCCTCCTCCTCCCACCGTGCATGTAGAGAACACGTACCCACCCATCACCTCCTCCTCCCACCGTGCATGTAGAGAACATGTACCCACCCATTCACCTCCTCCTCTCACCGTGCATGTAGAGAACATGTACCCACCCATTCACCCTCCTCCTCCTCACTGTGCATTGTAGAGAACATGTACCACCCATTCACCCTCCTCCTCCCACCGTGCATGTAGAGAACATGTACCCACCCATTCACCCTCCTCCTCCCACCGTGCATGTAGAGAACATGTACCCACCCATTCACCCTCCTCCTCCCACCGTGCATGTAGAGAACACGTACCCACCCATTCACCCTCCTCCTCCCACGTGCATGTAGAGAACATGTACCCCCCATTCACCTCCCCTCCACCGTCTGCATGTACACATTCTACCTGCATAGACACCCACCCATTCACCCGCCTCTCCCACTGTGCATGTAGAGAACATGTACCACCAATTCACCCTCCTCCTCCACCGTGCATGTATAAGAACATGTACCCACCCATTCACCCTCCTCCTCCACCGTGCATGTAGAGAACACGTACCCACCCATTCACCCTCCTCCTCCCACCGTGCATGTAGAGAACATGTACCCACCCATTCACCCTCCTCCTCTCACTGTGCATGTAGAGAACATGTACCCACCCATTCACCCTCCTCCTCCCACCGTGCATGTAGAGAACACGTACCCACCCATTCACTCTCCCCCTCTCACTGTGCATGTAGAGAACATGTACCCACCCATCACCTCCTCCTCCCACGTGCATGTAGAGACACGTACCCACCCTCACTTCCCCCTTACTGTGCATGTAGAGAACATGTACCCACCCATTCACCCTCCTCCTCTCACTGTGCATGTAGAGAACATGTACCCACCCATTCACCCTCCTCCTCTCACTCCCTCTTTCGCCATTTTCTCCCCCTCTCCCTCCCCAACAAACCTTCCTGGACAAAGAAGTTGGCGGTCAGCTGCGTGACAGCCACCCAATGTCAGAGTGGTTGTTGGCCTGGTTCAATCCCCATTCAAACCCGTTCTTCTCAGGGTGCCACTGGACGCCATATATTGGGTACCTCTTACCTGGGCAGAGAGGGAACAAGGAAGGGGAAGAGAGAGCAAACATTATGAGGAAGGTATGGGGATAAAAGCAATTCTGTGAAGCAAAAGCTCTCAGGGGTAATTTGGTCACATGTGACCATTTGACTTGCAGCCAAACTGACCGACCAACTTCCGCATATTCTATACTCTATATAGCGTTAAATGTGGTGCAGAGGAATTTACTATATACATAGCTAGCTACATACAATATCTCACTTTCCACCGTCGACACAAACTCCACCCCATCTCTGTCCATGTTGGTGGAGAGGACGGTGAAGAATTCAGTGAGTTTGGGGTTATTCTTAAAGGTGTCCGTGGTGACGGCGAAGTAGTGGTTATTGGTAGTGAGGGGTTCCTGGGAGATCCAGCCAAGAGCAGAGGAGGAGAAGAGGGAGAACAGACGACTAGTCTGTGCAGCTGGGGTGAGAGGAAGGAGAGAGAGGAAGGAGAGAGAGGTGGAGAGAGAGGAAGGAGAGAGAGGGTGGAAGAGGCGGAGAGAGGCAGGCTGAGCTAGGGGTGGCGAGGAGAGGAAGGGGTAAGGGTGAGAATGTCAAACAATCCCAAAAACAAGAGGACCTGAGTTCGAAATGTAACCAAAGAGGATGCACGATTGAGGATTGAAATAGGTACCATAATTATAGCGAGAAACTATCATGTCTCGGTGACTAGTGCAAAGTTCGCAGGAAAAACCTCTGCAGATCGCAATACTAAATCCAGTCAACGTTTATCACAAATAAGATTCGTGAAATTCACGAAGGTTTAAAGTGCACCATGGTAGTTTGTCACGTGCATATAATTATAGGCCGTACAATCCTCGACACAGGGTCAGAGTAAATGATTACCCAAGATTTACGTACTCCGTGTTGGGGAAACCACAAAGACGTACACACAGATAACTGTGTTGGGAGACCACAGTACCATGTGACCACTGTGGCTATTATTGTGTGTAGAAAAGTCATGCGTCTGTATATTTTGTTGAGAATACGTTCACTTGTGCTAGTAACGTGGAACAACTTGACACGAAAACCCATTCCACTCATGTCTTCCCTTCCATTTTACTGCTGCAGAACGGCATTATTGCAAAGTACTGCCATTCTGTTATGAACCCCATTGGAGAGAGGTATATAGAATGCAGCATACTCAGGCAGTAGCAGTGTGAGACGGTGAGTGATGGGCACCCACCAGAAGTGAGGTTGAGAGGGATGCTGTAGTTTTTAGCATCAACCTGACTCAGTATCCCTTCTCCTCCGACCATGGTGGTGAGTAGTTGGAACCCCAGACATGTTCCCCACACTGGGAAATAGTCTCCTGCGTCCACGGCCTGTGGGAGGGGAAAACATGTGTATATACGTCACATGTTCCTCAGCCACCACTCTCTTAGTTCTCAGTACCGGTATAATACTTATGTCTTACATCCATGGCCATCTGAACCACTGCTCTCCCAATTGCAGCATATCCAGAGGACACGACTGACACTCCTCCCCCAGGGAACAAAATTCTGCAGAGGGAACCAGATGAACAACACAAAGTGTCAAGTGCTGCAGCATTTTGTGCAATCTTACACAAGGTAAAACAATCCCTCTTCTACAGCTACCGTGATTGGTTCACTCACCCATTGATAGAGTCGAAGAGTGACTTGAGGTCATCCTGACTAGTGTTACTACTGCAGTCCCTGAGTTGAGGAACACACACAACTCGGACGCCAGAAAAGGAGCAGTTATCACAAATGCATTGACAGAGGAGCAAGGATACAAGATGGGTACCACTTGTGCGCCTGCAGACTCTACGTATTTGACGTAAGAGGCCGCTATGTAGGAGCTTTTCCCGCTGGACACCTCTTCGGACACTATGCCTGCAGGCAGAGAGACATGTGTTGGTGGGTGGCACGGAGCTGGCGAGCTCCAGCAGGAGGTACGTACCTATGATAGGCCTGTAGTTCAAACAGCTTCCTAGCCCCACCAGGCAGCCGAAGCAGCCGACCAGCAAGAGTGTAACCATACCGTGGACTTCCATGTTGTTTGGAAACATACGCAGGGGTTTGGGGCAGTGCAAAAAACGGCTGAATCGGCAAGAGGTGTACGCATGCGCGCATCAGTCTAGCTGCTGAATCAGCAAAGTTGATGTAGGCGGGGCTCAACCGCTGAACCGGAAGACTTTTACCCTTTCTTGCCTTTCCAGCTGAGCCGAATTCCGCGGTAGGAAATCTTCATCATCGGGCCGTGTGTTCACTGACAAACTGACACGATCCTGAGCCGTGAAATGGACTCACTGAAGCGAGAAGCGCTGAGAAATCAGACAGTCTCCCTGACTGACAACATGAACCCCGGCCTCCTGGGACCCTACCTCTACAGCAAGAAGCTCCTCACACACGACGAGTTTGAGCGTCTCCAACTTCCCACCATGACCACCAGAGACAGGAACCTCTTCATCTTACAGGTTGTATGATACTACTCAAAAGACGGAGGGTAAAGGAGAGTTGGGGTATTAGCTAGGAGAGTATATATATATATATATGTAAGAGGGAGAGCTAAAAAGGGAGAGAGCAAAGAGACGTTCCTTAACTGCATAAACTCTATTCATAAGATGCTGCATTTCTCTCTAGAAAATCCCAACGAAAGGGAGTCGTGCATTTGACCTTTTCTGGAGTGTCTGCAGGAGAGTGGGGAGGACAGTGGGGAGGAGGTGCACCAGAACCTGGCAGAGAGACTCCAACAGCAGCTCAGCAATCTACTGCCCCCCTAGCTACACCCTCTTCTCTCTCCTCTACAGTTACCCCATCCCATGGAACCCTCTCTCCTTGCATTGTGTATTTTGGTCAGTATGTACCGTTTTGTTTTCAATCTTAGGGCTATTTTTGAATTGGATCTGCCAGTAATAAAATTACAGCTATATATACAGAGGTAGTATATAATACATGGTGTCTCTCTCTCTCTATGATGTGTGGTATGCAGCATGGGGCTACTGTTTGTAGTGGGGCGGTGTCGATGATGGACGACTTGTCTTTACAATCCTGAGATTGTAGACACACTGTCTGGATATATTCTATGGTGGAGAAGGGAGGGAGGGGAGAAAGGGAGAGAAAAAAATTTGAAAATGGTGGCTGCTAAAATTTTCATTTTTGAGAGAGGAGGAAAATAGGGTTAAATATGTAAGGATTTGTGAGCTTAGTCATAAAACAAAGTAAATCACAGTACAGTGATAGAAAATTTGTCCTATGATGTGCTGTCATAGACGATGGAAAAGTGCTAAAAGCCCTCATTAAAAAGCTGGCACAATAGGCAGAGAGAGGGGAACTCACAGATTCATGGAGGAGAGTTTGGAGCTGGTGCACTGCCCCTCTGTCTTGTAGTGGCAGTGTTTGTGCACCACCATGTTACAGTCCCGGCACACGTAGCCCTGCTTCCCCATGAACCCCAGGATCTTCTTCTTACACACGTGGCAGTAGAAACGCCTGCGGGGAGTGAGTGAGTTGGGCAAGAAGCGAGACAATGACAGAGAGAGAGAGAGGAGTAAGTAAATTTGAATCAACTCAAGTGGTCTACCCTCACTTATTTTCTTAACACATTGCAAGCGAAACGTTTGAAGTCATCTGCTGAAATTTTAGTAGGGAGCTATTGCATTCTCGCATTTTTACATTAGCGGTGAGGTTTTCTCTCCTTGAAACAAAGTTTCACTAAAAAATTCATTTCAAATTCATTCAAGGTTTTTATGGTGGTATACGAAGCAAATGAAATTGTAGGCAGTTTAGTATGTTGTGTGTGATGCAGTGAAAACTCTGTGACTCACTGTTTGAGGTGGGTGGCGACAAATATGTGGTCGTTGTAGATGTGGAGTTTACGTGCGTGGGAGACCCTCTTGCCGAGTTTGCTGGCGTGGGCCTGGCTGAGGGCCACTATGTGCCTCGTTCTTCGCGAGTCTGAGATCTCAAACACCAGGGTGGACGGGTGCATCTCCTCAACTGCCAGGACAGAGCGAGAGAGAGAGTAATGAAGCGACATTAAATTACAATATTCATGATGGCTATATACAAAAGCACTTCACTTTTCAATAGAGAGCTGAAATATTGTCACCTTAAAAGGATTAATCAGCATCTGTTCTATCAATTACTGCCTCTATTTTGCCTTCCTTGTCCCTATCTTCCCCTGTTACACTAGCATATGACTGACCACTAGACTCGACACTGTAGGCACTGCCACTCATACTAAGAGTCTGTCTCCTTCGTCTGTTTGGACTCAGTAGCCCCTCCCCCTTCCCTCCTCCCGTCCGCAAAACCACCAAACTCTGATGTGACGGTCTCCTCAATCTCTCCAGACTTGACTCCGCCTCCACTCTCCCCTCCCCACTAGCCACACCCCCTTCCTGTACTGACGGAAGCACAAACTCCTGGAGCTTCTCGTAGGAGGGGCTTCGTCGCCACGACGACATGGACTTGGATCGGCTTCCCATGGCGATGGGCTCGGAGTGAGGGTGTGAGGCGTGGAGTGCGAGGGGGGAGGGGTGACTGTGGGCGGAGCTTGGTGGAGAGTCTGTGACGTCAAGGAGATGTTGATTGTCTGGAGTTGTGTTCTCTCTCTCATCATCGTCACCAGCAGCAGCAGTGGGTGACTCTGTGGGCCGAACCTGTGCACCAGAGATACTGCACTCACAACATGTACTGCAGTGTATACTTCCCATGATACTGGGCCTCAGCACTTTACCTTCAGAATTACCTCACTATATCTGGAGCAACCCCAAGGATCTTATACCCACTAAAAGAAGGAAGTGAAAAACTTGCAGAGAAAGAATCGCGGCTGCCTTATAGCCACAAGGCCACTCACTATATATAAGCCAGGGGAACAACACTTTTACCCAAAACAACTCTATTTTGAGCGATTCACGAAGGTTTTACGGTGAGCTCAAAGAGCCAACTCACCTCCTCCTTCTTGCTCTCAACGAGGTCTGGTTTCTTTTCCACCTCTTCAACTGCACCGGCTGTATCCACACTGACTTCTGAAACTCTCTTTCTTATCTCTCCCTCCTCCTCCCCTTCCTCCTCCTCCTCCTCCTCCGCCTCCTCCTCCTTCTCACCAATCTCCCCAGTAACACCCACTCCCTCCCCCTCCTCTTCCTCCCCCTCCTTCTGTCCCACACCCAAACTCTCTCTCTGCCACAATTTGCGAGAAACATGAGTCACTGTCGACATTGTGGGTCCATTTTCAACTACTGCCTCCCCTCCCCTCTCTCCCTCCTCTCCCTCGCCCTCTCTTCCTGTGGAAACAGGGGTGGCATTTAGTTCTGACAAAGGAGCAGACGAGGGGTGTGGCTTGTTGTGGTGGGCGGGGTTTTGAGAGTGGGTGTGGCTCTTGTGATTGACATTGATGATAGGAGTAGGATTGATCACATGGTTGTTGGGTAGCTGTCGGAGAGAGAGAGAGAGAAATATTTTAGGCAAGTCTTCACAGTGGAAAGAGTTGGTGGCTTTAAGGGTCACGCCTCATGTGTTATGTAACCTCAATCATCTTCACTCTAGAAACTATACACTGCATAACGCACTGCATCTGTGCAACCAAACATTGAGCAACCGACATGTATGAACCCACCTTACATCGCGCAGGATAGTATAATTATGCTCATAAAACTCCCCAGTACGTAGAAAGAGTAAGGGAGGGGAAGGAAGGAGGGGAGCAAAGCGTCAAACGGAAGGAGGTTATCACTAGTAGAGATTAATCTTGAGAAGTGTCGACCCTATCTCCTTCTCTCCTCATATTCCTCTGTGCTCCGTTTTCTTCTCTACCCTCCATTCATTGTCAATTATCTGTCCAACTACCCGGATCCCTCCCACCTCTTCCTATACCTTCTCTACAAACCCCGCACTTCACCATACCCCCCTTCTCTTCGGCGGCTTCTCTTCCGTTACTACTACTATCTCACCTATATTCTCTCATCTGCTTCCCTCCCCCCTCTTCTTCCTTCTCTTCCCTTTTCACCCCGCCCTTTCTCCCCCCTCTCTCGTCTTTCTCCTCCTTCTCCCGCTCCCTTCGTATTCTTCCTGCCCCATCCTTCCCCTCCTCTCTTTTCTTCCTCTCTCCTCTAGCTTTCCGTTTCCCGTTCTCTCCCCTCTTCCTCCCTCTCTGTCTTTCTCTTCTTTCTCGCCTCCTTTCGCTCTCTGCGCCGTCTCTCCCTCTCTCTCCTCTCTCTTGGCGACCGGCGGCAGATCCCAGGCTAGTCTCGGATCAATCCCAGTGCGATCAAGAGCGGGATAAGGAGTACAAGAGATAGGGACGATTAGAGGAGCCAGAGAGAGAGCAGCAAAAGGAAAAAAAAGAAAAGAGATAGACTTCCTACAGCTAATATCGTCACAACAACCCCTAGCAGGTAGTCCTTCCTACCGCTTCGCGCCTTTCGCCCTCGCTCTCTCCCTTGCCGTCAGTCTCGCCTCTTCCCGCGTCCCTGCCCGTCGGCACTCTCTCTCTCTCGCTCCCCTCACTCTTTCCTTCTTTCGCTCTCCTCCCCTTCTCCTGTCCGCTCCTCCTTCTCTTCTTCCTAACTCCTCTGCCCTTCCCCTCCCCTTCTCTCTCTTTCTTCCTCTTTTGTCGCCTCTTTTTTCTCTCCTCTCCTCTCTTTCTTCCTTTCCTCCCTTTTCGTCCTTTCCCTCATCCTCTCCTTCTCTCTCCTTCGCCTCTTTCCTCTCCCCCCCCTCTCTCTCTCCTTCGCTTCGATCTTCTTCCCCTTCCCTGCCGTCTCTCTCCTGTCGTCTTTCGCCTCCTTCTCTCTTCCTCCCTTCTCTTTCGCTGTGCTCCTCTCCTTCCTCTCTCTCTCTTCTCCTTCTCTCTCTTCGTCTCTCCTCGTCCGCCCCGGCGCGTCTCGGTCCTCCCCGCTCGCCTCTCACCCGCTTCCGTCTCCATCTCTCTCTCGCTGTTCCTCGTTCTTCTCCCCTGTTCTTCCGTATCCCTCTGACTTCTCTCCTCCTTTTTCTTGCCCGTCTCCTTCCGCTTCTCGTGCCCTCTCTTGGTTCTCCCCCTCCTCTTCTCCTCATCTCTCGCTCCTCTTTTTCTCCTTCTCCCCCCCCCCCCCCCCTTCCTCTCCTCCTTCTCTTCTTCCCGCCTCCTCTTCTCTCTCGAGAATATGAGGAATAGTCTAGAATTAATAAGGGAGAGTAGGAATTCTAGTATAGGTCTAGATCAATGTAAGCGTAACAGCAGGCTACCATTCCTAGCGTTTACTTTTCTCTCCCCGTCCTTTCGTTACGCTTTTTCTTCTACTCATTCAATTACCCTCTTTTCAAGCCTCTCTCCTGTGCCTGGAATTAATCTAATATTATACCTTTGCTCGCAATACTCCTACTCTATCCTCTGCTCTCTCTTTCCTTCTCCCTCCTCGCCTCTCTCATACCCTCTCTATTCTCGCTCCTTCTCTTTCATCACCTCCTCTTCTACCTTATCTCCTCATCTTCTCTCTTCTCTCCGCTTCCCTCCTCCTCTCCTCTCTCTTCCTTCTTCTCCTTCTCCTAGTTTCCCTTCCTCTCTTCGTCCCCTCTCTTCTGTCCTCGTCTTCTCTCTCCTCCTCTCACTTCTCCGTCCTTCTTCGTCTTTCTCCTCTTTCTCCTTTCCTCTCCTCCTCTTCCTTCCCGCCTTCTCCCCCTTGCTTCTTCCTGTCTCCCCTCTTCTCGTTCTCTCTCCTCTCCTCTTCCGCCTTCCTCTTCCCTATCTCTCTTCCTTCCTCCTCTTCCTCCATCGCTCTCTTCCTTCCTTTCCCCGCCTTCCCTCTCCCTTCCTTCTCCCGGCTTACCCTGCCCCCTCCTTCTCTCTCGGCCTTTCCCCCTCCTTCGCGCCTGGCGTCCCTTCTCTCCGCCGGCTCGCCGCCCCCTCTTCTGTTCGCTCCCTTCCTCTGCTCCCCGCTCGTCTTCATCGTCTTCCGCTCCCTCCGTCCCCTTTCTCCTCCTCACTTCCCTCTACCCTCTCCTCTCGCTCTCCTTCCCCTACTCTCTTCTCCGTTCCGCCGCGTCCTGGCCTTCTTCCTCTCTCCTCGTCCGCTTCCGGTAGGCCTTGTCTTCCTCTCTTTCTTCGGCTTCTCGCCGCTCCTCGTCTCCCCTGGTGGCGTCTTTGCCGGCCTGCTGTTCTCCGTCGCTGTCGCGCCGCTCGCCAGGCGCTCTGTCTTCTCCCCCCGCGCGGCTGCCTCCCTTCCGCCGCTCGGCCCGGCGCGGTCTCCCTCTTCGGTGGTTTCTCGCTTCGCGTGCGCGCCTTCCGCTCTGTACCCCGTCGCCTGCTCCTGCACCTGCCCTCTGCGTCTGGTTCCCTATGCTTCTACGCTCTTCGCTGCTTTCGCTGCTCGCGTGTCTCCTTTCGCTTCTCTCGCCTCTCCTCTTCTCCCCTCCTGCGCGCCTGCCCCGCCTTGTTCTTACTCTCTCTACTCTAGCTTCTCTTCTCGCCCTCTCCTTCCCGCCCCTCGTTTCTTCCTTGCCGTCCCCCTTCCTCAGTCTCTCCTCCTCCGTTCGCCCCCTCCTTCGTCCCATCCTCTCTTTCTCTCCCCAAATGACAGAGAGCTCCGTACGACAGTCACGCCCCTAATTGATAATAATCAGTTACATCTCCGCTAATCGCAGCCATCCCGTACTAGGTCTCACTTCGGTCTCTCGGCATGCTCTCTGTCTAACGCCGTATCGCTCAGGCGAGGGATCATCTAGCGCGAGAGAGGCCTCCTCAGCTCTCTCTTGCCCGCATCTTACCATCTCCCTTCCTCTCTTCTACTCATCTCCTCATACCCTTCTTCTCTTCGCTCTCTCCTCCCTCCCTTCCTCTCTTCTTCCCTTCTTCTTCCTCTCGTCTTTTTATTCTCGCCTCCGGGCGCTCCGCTCGCGCGCGGCCTCCGCGCCCGTGCCCGCCCCGCGTCGCGCGGAGGCCGCAAGATGAAGAGAGGCTTAGTCTTAGAGGCACGAAAGCGCGCCGGGGTCGCGACGCGCGGTCCGCCAGCGGCTGAAACGTTGTATTCAGGCTTCGGCCGCTATGGCTCGATCGCACCTCGCCGTTAGCCCTGTCCCTCCCCTTTTTTCCCCTCTCTTCGCTCTTTCCCCGTCGTGCTCCCTCTCTCCTGTCTTTCCCTCTCGTCCCCCTCTTTCCCTCCCTCCGCTCATTCTTCTCTCTTTTCTTCCTACTTTCTTCGTCTCTTCTTTCCCTCTCTTTCGCTCTCTCCTCTCCTCTGCCTCCTCGCCCATCCTCTCTTTCTCCTCCTTCTTCTTTCCTCTTCCTGTTCCTCGTACTTCCTTTCCCCCTTCTCCTTCTCCTCCTCGCCGTCTCTCTTCTCGTCCTTCCCTCAGGAGGGAGATAATAAAAAGCTAAGGGAGAGAGCGCGGAAAGGAAGGCAATAAGGAAGAGGAAGATCCGGTAAAGAAAAAAAGGAAGAGAGTGAGAATGGAATTAGAATATGCCATAGCTTAAAGAGCTAGAGGTAAAAGAAGAGAGGGATTCGGAAGAAGGAGTAAGAGATGAGAGACGGAGTAAGAGAGAAGCAGGCCCTTCTCTCCCCCCCTCTTCTAACTTCTTCCTTCTTTCTCCTTTCTCTTTCTTCGCTCCTTTTCTCTTCGCTCCTGTCTCTCGTTCTTTCCCGCCGGGCTTTTGCCCTCCTCCCTCCCCTTTTTTGATCCCCCTCCCTCTCCTCCTCCCCTGCCTCTTCCTCTCCTCGTCTCCCTCCTCTCCCCTTCAACCCTCTTCCCGTCATTTCTTTCTCTGCTCCTCCCTTCTCTCTTCCTCCTCCTCCCTCTCTTTCTCCTCTTCCTTTGTCCTTTCTCGCTTCTCTCCCTTCTTTCTTCCCGCTCTCTCTCCCGTCCTCCGTTCTTTCCTCCTCCTCCTCTTTTATGCTTCCCCCCACTCCCTTGCCGCCTTTTCGGCCTCCACCTCCTTCCTCCTCTTGTCCCTCTTCCTCTCCCTTCCTCTCTACTCCTTCGCGCGCCCGTCTGCTCCCGTTTCTCTCTGCGCGCTCCTCCCTCGTCTCACCTTCCGTCTTCCCTTCTCCTCTGCTCTTCCTCCTCCCCGCCTGCTCCGTCTGCCCCCCTCCCCCTCTCTATCCTTTTCCACTCCTCTGCCTTTCTTCCTTCTTGTCTCTGCTGTTTTCTCCCGCTTCTCTTCTCTTTTTTCTCTCACTGCTCTCCTCTCTCTCCGCTCACCTTCCTCATTCTCTCTGTCCTCCCTCCCACCACCCCCCCCTTCTCTCTTTCTCCTCCGTCGCCTCCCTTGCTCCGCTCTCGTTTCTTCTCCTCCTTCTCTCTGTTCCTCTCATCCGTCGGCGCGCGCGGTCTCTCGCGTCGCTCCCTCGTCCTCATTCTCGTGCTCTCGCTCGTCCCTCCCCTTCTGCTCTCGCCACGGCGCCGCCGTAGCCATCCTCGCCCCGTTGCTTTCTTCTTCCTTCTCTCGTCTTCGCTTC